CGTCCACGTCCATGTCCACGTCCACGTCCACGTCCATGTCCATGTCCACGTCCATGTCCATGTCCACGTCCACGTCCACGTCCACGTCCACGTCCACGTCCATTTCTACGTCCACGTCCACGTCCACGTCCACGTCCACGTCCATTTCGACGTCCACAGTCCACGTCCACGTCCACGTCCAGGTCCATGTCCACGTCCACGTCCACGTCCATGTCCATGTTCACGTCCATGTCCATGTCCACGTCCACGTCCACGTCTATGTCCACGTCCACGTCCACGTCCATGTCTACGTCCAGGTCCACGTCCAGGTCCAGGTCCACGTCCACATCCACTTCGACGTCCACGTCCACGTCCACGTCCACGACCACGTCCACGTCCATGTCCACGTCCACGTCCACGTCCACGTCCACGTCCATTTCTACGTTTCCACGTCCACGTCCATGTCCATTTCCAACGTCCACGTCCACGTCCACGTCCACGTCTACGTCCACGTCCACGTCCATTTCTACGTCCACGTCCACGTCCCACTTCCACGTCCCACGTCCACGTCCACGTCCACGTCCACGTCCACGTCCACGGCCATTTCTACGTCCACGTCCACGTCCACTTCCACGTCCACGTCCATGTCCATGTCCACGTCCACGTCCACGTCCACATCCACGTCCATGTCTACGTCCAGGTCCACGTCCAGGTCCTGGTCCACGTCCACGTCCACGTCCACGTCCACGTCCACGTCCACGTCCACGTCCACGTCCACGTCCACGTCCACGTCCACGTCCACGTCCATTCTACGTCCACGTCCACGTCCACGTCCACGTCCACGTCCACGTCCACGTCCATGTCCACGTCCACGTCCATGTCCACGTCCATGTTCACGTCCACGTCCACGTCCACGTCCATGTCCACGTCCACGTCCACGTCCATTTCTACGTCCACGTCCACGTCCACGTCCACGTCCACGTCCACGTCCATTTCGACGTCCACGTCCACGTCCACGTCCACGTCCACGTCCACGTCCACGTCCACGTCCATGTCCACGTCCACTCCACGTCCACGTCCACGTCCACGTCCACGTCCACGTCCACGTCCACGTCCACGTCCACGTCCACGTCCACGTCCACGTCCACACGTCCACGTCCACGTCCACACGTCCACGTCCACGTCCACGTCCATGTCCACGTCCACGTCCATTTCTACGTCCACGTCCACGTTCCACGTCCACGTCCATGTCCACGTCCACGTCCACGTCCACGTCCACGTCCATGTCTACGTCCACGTCCACATCCACGTCCATTTCACGTCCACGTCCACGTCCACGTCCACGTCCATTCCACGTCCACGTCCACGTCCACGTCCACGTCTACGTCCACGTCCATTTCTACGTCCACGTCCATTTCCACGTCCACGTCCACGTCCACGTCCACGTCCATGTCCACGTCCACGTCCACGTCCATGTCCACGTCCACGTCCACGTTTACGTCCACGTCCATTTCCACGTCCACGTCCATTTCCACGTCCACGTCCACGTCCACGTCCACGTCCACGTCCACGTCCACGTCCACGTCCATTTCTACGTCCACGTCCACGTCCACTTCCACGTCCACGTCCATGTCCACGTCCACGTCCACGTCCACGTCCATTTCTACGTCCATTTCCACGTCCATGTCCACGTCCACTTCCACGTCCATGTCCACGTCCACGTCCACGTCCACGTCCACGTCCATGTCTACATCCAGGTCCACATCCAGGTCCAGGTCCACGTCCACGTCCACTTCGACGTCCACGTCCACGTCCACGTCCACGTCCACGTCCATGTCCATGTCCACGTCCACGTCCACGTCCACGTCCATTTCTACGTCCACGTCCACATCCATGTCCACGTCAACGTCCATGTCCATGTCCACGTCCACGTCCACGTCCATGTCCATGTGTACGTCCACGTCCACGTCCATGTCTACGTCCACGTCCGCGTCCACGTCCACGTCCATGTCCACGTCCATGTCCTCGTCCATGTCCACGTCCAGGTCCACGTCTAGGTCCACGTCCACGTCCACGTCCACTTCCACGTCCACGTCCACGTCCACGTCCAGGTCCACGTCTAGGTCCACGTCCAGGTCCACGTCCACATCCAAGTCCACGTCCACGTCCACGACCACGTCCACGTCCACGTCCACGTCCTCCACGTCCTCGTCCACGTCCTCCACGTCCTCGTCCACGTCCTCCACGTCCACGTCGTCCACGTCCACGTCCAAGACCACGTCCACGTCCATGTCCACGACCACGACCACGTCCATGTCCACGTCCACGTCCATGACCACGTCCACGTCCATGTCCACGTCCACGACCATGACCACGTCCACGACCACGACCACGTTCACGTCCACGTCCACGTCCACAACCACGTCCACGTGCACGTCCAGGTCCACGTGCACGTGCACGTCCATTTGTACGTCCACGTCCATTTCTACGTCCACGTCCACGTCCACGTCCACGTCCACATCCATGTCCACGTCCATGTCTACGTCCACGTCCACGTCAACGTCCACGTCCACGTCCACGTCCACGTCCACGTCCACGTCCACGTCCAATTCTACGTCCACGTCCACGTCCACGTCTACGTCCACGTCCATGTCCATGTCCACATCCATGTCCATGTCCACGTCCACGTCCATGTCCATGTGCACGTCCACGTCCACGTCCACGTCCATGTCCACGTCCACGTCCACGTCCACGTCCACGTCCACGTCCACGTCCAAGGCCACGTCCATGTCTACGTCCTCGTCCAGGTCCACGTCCAGGTCAACGTCCAGGTCCACGTCCAGGTCCACGTCCACCTCCACGTCCACTTCCACGTCCACGTCCACGTCCACGTCCACGTCCTCCACGTCCTCGTCCACGTCCTCCACGTCCACGTCCACGTCCTCCACGTCCACGTCCTCCACGTCCACGTCCATGTCCACGACCACGACCACGTCCATGTCCACGTCCACGTCCATGACCACGCCCACGTCCACGTCCACTTCCACGACCACGACCACGTCCACGTTCATGTCCACGTCCACGTCCATGTCCACGTCCACGTCCACGTCCACGTTCACGTCCACGTCCACGTCCATGTCTACGTCCATTGCCATGTGCACGTCCACGTCCACGTCTACGTTCATTTCTACGTCCACGTCCACGTCCAAATCCACGTCCACGTCCATGTCCACGTCCATGTCCACGTCCACGTCCACGTCCACGTCCACGTCCATGTCCATGTCCACGTCCACGTCCACGTCCATGTCCACGTCCATGTCCACGTCCACGTCCACGTCCACGTCCATTTCTACGTCCACGTCCACGTCCACGTCCATGTCCACGTCCACGTCCACGTCCACGTCCATGTCCACGTCCATGTCCACGTCCATGTCCACGTCCATGTCCACGTCCACGTCCATGTCCACGTCCACGTCCATGTCCACGTCCACGTCCATGTCCACGTCCACGTCCATGTCCACGTCCATGTCCACGTCCACGTCCACGTCCACGTCCACGTCCATGTCCACGTCCACGTCCACGTCCACGTCTATGTCCACGTCCACGTCCACGTTTACGTCCATGTCCACGTCCACGTCCATGTCCATGTCCACGTCCAAGTCCACGTCCATGTCCACGTCCATGTCCACGTCCACGTCCACGTCTACGTCCACGTCCACGTCCACGTCCACGTCCACGTCCACGTCCATGTCCACGTCCACGTCCACGTCCACGTCCACGTCTATGTCCACGTCCATGTCCACGTCTATGTCCACGTCCATGTCCACGTCCACGTCCATGTCTATGTCCACGTCCATGTCCACGTCCATGTTCACGTCCATGTCCACGTCCACGTCCACGACCACGTCCACGACCACGTCCACGTCCACGTCCATGTCCACGTCCACGTCCATGTCCACGTCCACGTCCACGTCTACGTCCATTTCTACGTCCACGTCCACGTCCATTTCCACGTCCACGTCCACGTCCACGTCCATGTCCACGTCCACGTCCATGTCCACGTCCACGTCCACGTCCATGTCCATGTCCATGTCACGTCCACCTCCACGTCCACGTCCACGTCCACGTCCACGTCCACTGTCCATGTCCACGTCCATGTCCACGTCCACGTCCACGTCACTGTCCACGTCCCTGTCCACGTCCACGTACATCCACGTCCATGTCCACGTCCACGTCCATGTCCACGTCCACGTCTACGTCCGTTTCTACGTCTACGTCCACGTCCATTTCCACGTCCACGTCCACGTCCACGTCCATGTCCACGTCTACGTCCATGTCCACGTCCATGTCCACGTCCATGTCCACGTCCACGTCCACGTCCAGGTCCACGTCCACGTCCACGTCCACGTCCATTTCTACGTCCACGTCCATGTCCACGTCCACGTCCATGTCCACGTCCACGTCCACGTCCACGTCCATATCCACGTCCACGTCCACGTCCACGTCCACGTCCACGTCCATGTCCACGTCCACGTCCATTTCTACGTCCACGTCCACGTCCACGTCCATGTCCACGTCCACGTCCACGTCCACGTCCATGTCCACGTCCACGTCCACGTCCACGTCCATGTCCACGTCCACGTCCACGTCTACGTCCACGTCCACGTCCACGTCCATGTCCACGTCCACGTCCACGTCCACGTCCATGTCCACGTCCACGTCCATGTCCACGTCCACGTCCACGTCCACGTCCACATCGACGTCCATGTCCACATCGACGTCCATGTCCACGTCCACGTCCACGTCCACGTCCACGTCCACGTCCACGTCCACGTCCACGTCCACGTCCACGTCCACGTCCACGTCCACGTCCATGTCCATGTCCACGTCCATGTCCCCGTCCACATCCACGTCCATGTCCACGTCCACGTCCACGTCCACGTCCACGTCCACGTCTACGTCCACGTCCACGTTTACGTCTACGTCCACGTCCATGTCCACGTCCACATCCATGTCCATTTCTACGTCCACGTCCACGTCCACGTCCATGTCCACGTCCACGTCCACGTCCACGCGTCCACGTCCACGTCCACGTCTACGTCCACGTCCACGTCCATGTCTACGTCCACGTCCACGTCCACGTCCACGTCCACGTCCACGTCCATGTCCACGTCCACGTCCACGTCCACGTCCACATCCACGTCCACGTCCACGTCCACGTCCACGTCCATGTCTACGTCCACGTCCAGGTCCACGTCCACGTCCACATCCACGTCCACGTCCACGTCCACGTCTACGTCCACGTCCACGTCCACGTCCACGTCCATTTCTACGTCCACGTCCATGTCCACGTCCACGTCTACGTCCATGTCCACGTCCACCTCCACGTCCATTTCTACGTCCTTGTCCATGTCCACGTCCACCTCCACGTCCACGTCCACGTCCACGTCCACGTCCACGTCCACGTCCATGTCCAGGTCCACGTCCACGTCCACGTCCACGTCTACGTCCACGTCCATGTCCACGTCCACGTCCACGTCCATGTCCACGTCCACGTCCACGTCCACGTCCACGTCCACGTCCACGTCCATGTCCACGTCCACGTCCACGTCCACGTCCACGTCCATGTCCACGTCCACGTTCACGTCCACGTCCACGTCCATGTCCACGTCCACGTCCATGTCCACGTCCACGTCCACGTCCAGGTCCACGTCCAGGTCCACGTCCAGGTCCACGTCCACGTCCACGTCCACATCCATGTCCACGTCCACGTCCACGTCCACGTCCACGTCCACGTCCACGTCCTCATCGTCCTCGTCCACGTCCTCCACGTCCTCGTCCACGTCCTCTACGTCCACGTCGTCCACGTCCACGTCCACGACCACGTCCACGTCCATGTCCACGACCACGACCACGTCCATGTCCACGTCCATGACCACGTCCACGTCCACGTCCACGTCCACGATCACGACCACGTCCACGACCACGACCACGTCCACGTTCACGTCCACATCCACGTCCACGTCCACGTCCACGTCCACGTGCACGTCCAGGTCCACGTCCATTTCTACGTCCACGTCCATTTCTACGTCCACGTCCACGTCCACGTCCATGTCCACGTCCTCGTCCACGTCCACGTCCAGGTCCACGTCCAGGTCCACGTCCAGGTCCACGTCCACCTCCAGGTCCACGTCCAGGTCCACGTCCAGGTCCACGTCCACGTCCACGTCCTCCACCACGTCCACTTCCACGTCCACGTCCACGTCCACGTCCACGACCACGTCCACGTCCATGTCCACGACCACGACCACGTCCATGTCCACGTCCACGTCCATGTCCACGCCCACGTCCACGTCCACGTCCATGTCCACGTCCACGTCCACGTCCACGTTCACGTCCACGTCCACGTCCATGTCCACGTCCATTTCCATGTGCACGTCCACGTCCACGTCCACGTTCATTTCTACGTCCACGTCCACGTCCACGTCCACGTCCATGTCCATGTCCACGTCCATGTCCACGTCCATGTCCACGTCCACGTCCACGTCCACGTCCACGTCCATGTCCACGCCCACGTCCACGTCCATGTCCACGTCCACGTCCACGTCCACGTTCACGTCCACGTCCACGTCCATGTCCACGTCCATTTCCATGTGCACGTCCACGTCCACGTCCACGTTCATTTCTACGTCCACGTCCACGTCCACGTCCACGTCCACGTCCACGTCCACGTCCACGTCCATGTCCATGTCCACGTCCATTTCTACGTCCACGTCCACGTCCACGTCCACGTCCACGTCCATGTCCATGTCCACGTCTACGTCCACGTCCACTACGTCCACGTCCACCTCCATGTCCACGTCCACGTCCACGTCCACGTCCATGTCCACGTCCACGTCCATGTCCACGTCCACGTCCATGTCCACGTCCATGTCCACGTCCATGTCCACGTCCACGTCCACGTCCATGTCCACGTCCACGTCCACGTCCACGTCCACGTCTACCTCCACGTCCATGTCCACGTCCACGTCCACGTCCACGTCCACGTCTACCTCCACGTCCATGTCCACGTCCACGTCCATGTCCACGTCCACGTCCACGTCTACGTCCATTTCTACGTCCACGTCCACGTCCATTTCCACGTCCACGTCCACGTCCACGTCCATGTCCACGTCCACGTCCATGTCCACGTCCACGTCCATGTCCACATCCATGTCCACGTCCATGTCCACGTCCACGTCCACGTCCACGTCCACGTCCACGTCCACGTCCATTTCTACGTCCACGTCCATGTCCACGTCCACGTCCATGTCCACGTCCACGTCCACGTCCATTTCTACGTCCACGTCCACGTCCTCGTCCACGTCCACGTCCACGTCCACGTCCACGTCCATGTCCACGTCCACGTCCATGTCCACGTCCACGTCCACGTCCAGGTCCACGTCCAGGTCCACGTCCAGGTCCACGTCCACGTCCACGTCCATGTCCACGTCCACGTCCACGTCCACGTCCACGTCCACGTCCTCCACGTCCTCGTCCACGTCCTCCACGTCCTCGTCCACGTCCTCCACGTCCACGTCGTCCACGTCCACGTCCACGACCACGTCCACGTCCATGTCCACGACCACGACCACGTCCATGTCCACGTCCACGTCCATGACCACGTCCACGTCCACGTCCACGTCCACGATCACGACCACGTCCACGACCACGACCACGTCCACGTTAACGTCCACATCCACGTCCACGTCCACGTCCACGTCCACGTGCACGTCCAGGTCCAAGTCCATTTCTACGTCCACGTCCATTTCTACGTCCACGTCCACGTCCATGTCCACGTCCTCGTCCACGTCCACGTCCAGGTCCACGTCCAGGTCCACGTCCAGGTCCACGTCCACCTCCAGGTCCACGTCCAGGTCCACGTCCAGGTCCACGTCCACGTCCTCCACCACGTCCACTTCCACGTCCACGTCCACGTCCACGTCCACGTCCACGACCACGTCCACGTCCATGTCCACGACCACGACCACGTCCATGTCCACGTCCACGTCCATGTCCACGCCCACGTCCACGTCCACGTCCATGTCCACGTCCACGTCCACGTCCACGTTCACGTCCACGTCCACGTCCATGTCCACGTCCATTTCCATGTGCACGTCCACGTCCACGTCCACGTTCATTTCTACGTCCACTGTCCACGTCCACGTCCACCAGTCATGTCCACGTCCATGTCCATGTCCACGTCCACGTCCACTGTCCACGTCCATGTCCACGTCCACGTCCACGTCCATGTCCACGTCCATGTCCACGCCCACGTCCACGTCCATGTCCTCCACGTCCACGTCCATCACGTCCACGTCGTCACGTTCACGTCCACGTCCATGTCCACGTCCATTTCCATGTGCACGTCCACGTCCACGTCCACGTTCATTTCTACGTCCACGTCCACGTCCACGTCGACGTCCACGTCCATGTCCATGTCCACGTCTACGTCCACGTCCATTTCAACGTCCACGTCCACGTCCACGTCCACGTCCACGTCCACGTCCATGTCCATGTCAACGTCCACGTCCACGTCCACGTCCACGTCCATGTCCACGTCCACGTCCACGTCCACGTCCACGTCCACGTCCATGTCCACGTCCACGTCCATGTCCACGTCCACGTCCATGTCCACGTCCATGTCCACGTCCATGTCCACGTCCACGTCCACGTCCATGTCCACATCCACGTCCACGTCCACGTCCACGTCTACCTCCACGTCCATGTCCACGTCCACGTCCATGTCCACGTCCACGTCCACGTCTACGTCCATTTCTACGTCCACGTCCACGTCCATTTCCACGTCCACGTCCACGTCCACGTCCATGTCCACGTCGACGTCCATGTCCACGTCCACGTCCATGTCCACGTCCATGTCCACGTCCATGTCCACGTCCACGTCCACGTCCATGTCCACGTCCACGTCCACGTCCACGTCCATTTCTACGTCCACGTCCATGTCCACGTCCACGTCCATGTCCACGTCCACGTCCACGTCCATTTCTACGTCCACGTCCACGTCTACGTCCACGTCCACGTCCACGTCCACGTCCACGTCCACGTCCATGTCCACGTCCACGTCCATTCCACGTCCACGTCCATGTCCACGTCCACGTCCACGTCCACGTCCACGTCCACGTCCACGTCCATGTCCACGTCCACGTCCACGTCCACGTCCACGTCCATGTCCACGTCCACGTCCACGTCCACGTCCATGTCCACGTCCACGTCCATGTCCACGTCCACGTCCACGTCCACGTCGACGTCCATGTCCATTTCCACGTCCATGTCCACGTCCATGTCCACGTCCACGTCCACGTCCACGTCCACGTCTACGTCCACGTCCATGTCCACGTCTACGTCCACGTCCATTTCTACGTCCATGTCCATTTCTACGTCCACGTCTACGTCCATGTCCACGTCCACGTCCATGTCCACGTCCACGTCCACGTCCACGTCCATGTCCACGTCCACGTCCACGTCCACGTCCACGTCCACGTCCACGTCCACGTCCACGTCCATGTCCACGTCCACGTCCACGTCCATTTCTACGTCCACGTCCATGTCCACGTCCACGTCCACGTCCATGTCCACGTCCACCTCCACGTCCATTTCTACGTCCTTGTCCATGTCCACGTCCACCTCCACGTCCACGTCCACGTCCACGTCCATGTCCATGTCCACGTCCACGTCCATGTCCACGTCCACGTCCACGTCCACGTCCATGTC